GGTTCTAGGTGCTGAAAAATTATGGCTAATGCCATTTGAATTACAAAAAAATCAGTAAATCCAAGATTTTCAAATTCAGTACCATGATCACTCCTAACACTAGTTATGGAGTAACCTTTTTTATTTTGGATTACTTTTGAAAACGTGATGAATTTTTCTAATGCTTCATCTTTAGTACTTAAGAATAGAACCCAAGTATATTTAGAATAGTCATCTACCAATATAAAGCAATATTGTTTTCCACCCACAGTCCTAATTGGCCCAAAAAGATCTATATAGATAAATTGTAATACTCTACTAGTTGATACATCATTAATAGATTTAAAGGAAGCTCTTCTATGTTTTCCCTTAGCACATGCATCACAGATTTTATCATTATCAAATTTTAGCTTTGGTAACCCTCTTACTAAATCTACTTGAATTAGTCTTTGTAAAACACTCATGCTAGTGTGTCCTAGTCTCCTGTGCCATAACCAACTATCATGTTCATCCTTAGCAACTAGGCACAAGTTAGTCATATTTATTGTATCCAAATGCACCATGTATATGTTTCCTATTCTATGACCAACAAGCATAATCTGATTAGATGCAATGTCAACAATTTTACAACCATTTGTTTCAAATAAGACATTGTATCCTTTATCACATAATTGACTAATACTAAATAGATTATGCTTCAACCCATTCACATATAAAATATTTTTAATTTGTATGGAAGAGGTATTACCTATTGTACCTATACCTTTAATGCGACCATTTGAATTATCACCAAAAGTCACCTCTCCTCCATTTTTGTCGTTAAGCTCGATGAACCGGCTCTTGTCTCCGGTCATATGTCTTGAGCATCCACTATCAAGGTACCATGAGTTTGAACTTGTATTTTGTGCCTTGTAGCAATGCTCATTTTCCTAAAAATATAGATTAATTTTTTATTTTTGGTACCCAATTTCTTTTGGGTCCATATTCATTAGTTTCTAAAATTCTAGTCCCCTTGGGTATCCACTTGTGTAGGATATCCTTATCTTTAGTTGTAATGAGTTCTTTAGGAACCCATATACTTCTAACGATTCTACCATTAGAGGTTCTTTGGGGACCTCTATGATTGTAGTTTTTAAAACTTTTTCTAACTAAGTTGGATTTTGAACTTTCTCTATTTTCAAAACGTTTTGTTCCAACTTCATCAAAAGAAGCTTTAAGATCATCAATTTTCTTTTGATGATCATCATTTACTCTTGAAAGTAAATTATGCAAATCAATATTTTTTTTCAAACTCATCTAGTTTGATTTGCAAATCCTTAATTTTACTTTCAAGATCAATGTTGGTCTTGGATACGAGATTATGTTCGCTTTTCAATTTTGAAATATCATTTTTGTATTTTAAAAATAATTTCTCATAATCCGAAGCCAACCCAGTATATTCCTCTAACAACTCATCAAAAGAATAATCTTCGAAATTAAATGAGCTAGAGGTTACCTGAGAGCTTTCCCCAATGGCCATCAAGCACAAGTTTGCTACTTCTTATTCCTCTTCATTGGAAGCTTCTTCATCGCTCCATGTACCCACATGTGCCTTGTGCTTTTTCTTTGATTGACCCTTTTTCTTCAGTTGTGGGTAATCGTACTTGACATGACCCGACTTTTTGCATTCGTAGCAAATAATAGGGTATTTTTCCTTTGGTTCATTTTTGAATCCTTCATTTCGTTTGAATTTTCTTCCTCTGTTGGGTTTCATTAATTTTCTGAACCTCTTGACAAATAATACTATTTCCTCGTCATCGTTATCTTTATCTGAATCACTCTCATCCTTTGTGGATTTGATAGTTACTCCAACATTCTTATTCTTCTGCGTCTCTTTCTTTGTCTCATCCATCTTTTCGAGGTGTAACTCATCTTGAATCATCATTTCATGCGTGAGGAGAGTAAACTAACTTCCTCACAAGCTTCTCGTTTGGAATGATCTCTCCATATGATTTGAGACCATTGACAATCGTGGAAAATCTATCTGTCATTGCTTTGATATCTTCATCTGGTTTCATCTTGAAATTTTCATAGCTCTGAGTTAGAAGAATAATTTTATATTCTTTTACCTCGTTAGTGCCTTCATGAATGACTTGTAGTTTATCCAATATCTCCTTGGCGATTGTACAAGATGAAACTCTCTCGTATTCATCTGGTCTAAGAGCACAAAATATAATATGGATAGCCTTTGAGTTGAGCTAGAACATTCTTGTCTCTCATTCACTCCACAATCTTGAATGAGTGGAAGGTACGATGTATCCATATTCTATGATATTACATGCTCCCATGTCACTTGCTTGAATAAAGTACCTCATTTTATTCTTCCAATAAGCATAATTAGCTCCATTGAAGAAAGGAGGCTTGTTGACAGGCAATGAATCAAGACCGAAGTTGAAGTTTGAAGTAGAGGCCATTAATGACTTGAATATCGATATAACTTTTCCCGAATCGACTCAAGAGGTGATTAAACCTTCAAATCAGTGAGGCTCTGATACCAATTGTTGAGTTAATCGATCGACGAAATAGTCAAGAGGGGGTAATTTAACAATAAAAAATTTTGGTGAAAGCTTTTGCAGAAAATTGAAAATAGTTGCACAACGATTTAGAGTGGTTCGGCTTTCTCAACCAAAGTCTACGTCCACTACATTAGCTATCCACACTAAGGATTTTCCAACAAATTCACTAATTTGTTCTTTCTTTTGAGGACAAATAGTAACCTTACAACTACCTCAAGAATTATACTCCAAATTCTTGAGAACACTCTCTCCCAAAGAGAAGATTACAAATTTCGTAAACTTACAGAAAAACCTCACAAGGTAATATGTTTGCACAATTCTAGAACAAAAAATGAACACTAAAAAATAATATAATTGAGTACAAAGAGTGTTCTTGAAAGAAAAATGAATATTGAATAGAAAATAGGCTTGAATTTGCTCAAACTTGATGTTTAAGGCTTTCTCTTTGTTTCTCTCACAATTGTTGTTGATTAATGGCTTCTAAGGTTGTTTAAATACACATTGGATCACTTCTGAACGTTGGGGATCATTGTGAAGTCAATAGAGTCGTTATTGTATAATTATCATTTAAAAATCTGGTTGGGAGCGTAGATGCATTGGTACACTCTCAAGGGTGCATCAATACACTATGTGTAAAATTCAAATATTTCGGCCGTTATAAGACGTAGTGCATCGGTACAATAGGGGTGCGTCGGTACACTAATTACATTCGAAGTTTCAAAAGAGCCAGGAGTGCACCGATTCATGATCTGTGCATCAGTACATAAAATGCATTCGATGTTTCAAAAAAATCGGGAGTGCATCGATGCATGGTTGTGCATCGGTACACAAAATGCATTCGAATTAGGGTGTGCATCGATACACCTAACAGTGCATCGGTACATCCCTTTATAAAATTGATTTTTGGCTCGATTAAGGTTCGAAATACTTTGTAAAAATTGTTTCAAAAATATTTTAAGTTTAAAACACAATTTTACACTTTAGTAAGGTTTTGAAATTGACCTTTGAAAAACTTAGAGTAATATTTGTGATATTTGAATAATTTAATTGAATATACTTTAAAAATAATTATAAAATCTTAAAATTCAATAACAATTAAGTTGTTATATCGAAACAACAAAATATTTTCAACAACATCCTTTTAGAATCGTTGGATTAAAAAAATCAAAGGTTGAGATTAATTCCTTGTCCAGTGGATATCTTCTTATTTCATACTGTTAATCTTAACATTTGATTTCCCTTCATCCAACGATCTTAAAAAGATGTAATTTTTTTTTAAATTTTACATAATGTAATTGGATTCTAATCCTATATATAAAAAAGGAGTGGAAGGCCATTTGGATCCAAAGGGGTACGGTCCTGGTTGTAATTTGTAATTTTTATATTAGTATAAAAATTATTTAAAAAATGGGTAAATTGCAAGTTTAGTATCTAAACTATTATTTACTTTCTGTTTTGTTACTTAAACTTTATTTTTTCAAAATCATGCCTAGCATTTAGTTTAAGTTTCAATTTGGTACCCGTTATTTAAAAAATTAACATAACTCTTGATATGACATTTTATTTTCAATGATGATATGAAATTATCTTATGATAATATGTCAAATTCAACATTAAGTTTTTGGCGAAGAGGTACCAAAAATAAAACCTAAATTAAAATGTTAGGTATAATTTAAAAAAAAAAGTTTAGGTACCCAACCAAAATATAAGTCATAGTTTAGATACTAAATGTGTAGTTTACTCTAAAAGTTATAGAGATTTTCACTTTCTTTAAAATAATATTATAAGTTGTAAAGTATTGTTATTCCAACATAAAATATTGCGGTAGAGCCATCAACTCCACAACAAAAGTAAGTCTCTTTCTATTATGATTGTGAGAGATATACTGAAGTGCCAAATTCAATTGAGTGACAATTTTTAAAGGTAACTAATAAAGCAATAATATATTTATTAATTGTTGTTTGACCTTATATTTAGTTTTAGTATATTTTGTGCAATATCACTCATGGATGCATTTCGAGATTTGAAGGAGTGACATGTTTTATTATTATTATATGATAGTTGTGTCTTTGATACCTTTTAAAATCGTATTTTTTATTATTTACTTTAATTTTATTTCTAATTTCTTACTTGTTATTTCATAGAAATGATAGAACTAATATGCATATTTGATTTTATCATTTATATTTTTTTAATAATTAACTGATAAATAAAATTATGTATAAAAATTAAAATTGTTAAAAAGATCCAATCTCTGTTAAGATTAAGTTATGCACAAATCATCTTATCTCAGTGGTTAAAGGAATCGTTATTATTTCTAGAGGTCATGAGTTTGAGCACCATCGACTGCAACAGGGTGATTGAGCGTTCATTGTCAAATGATTGAGAGTATTTAAAACAAATACTACTTTGTAATCACCTTAATTTCGTCCCTTTATATATATATATATATGTTGGAGACCTTTAATGGTATTGGTTCCGTCTAGATTGGTCTTAAATGTTATGGAAGAGATTATCAACCGGGACAAACGTGTGCCACCACCTCAAATCAAGTGTGCACCAACTAAAGAAATTCTAGAAGGTATATTTACATTATAGAGAAAATCTTAACCATCCACTATAACAATATTTCAATCATTGGATATATGGGGTCTTATCCTATACATAAGGGGTCACCTTATCGTTTAGTAGCAGTATACGAAATTTAGTTTTATAAAATTGATTGCCATCATATTTAATTAAAATTATAAATTATTTAATATGATAATGTTTGTTTGGTTTTCACTATCTCTCGTATATTTATTAATTATATTTTATCATCTAAACTTATTTTGAGACTAAGTATTTGTCGAGTTAAAAATAATATAATGTATTGTTTAAAACAATTTTCATTTGTGATGTATAAATGTATATATAATTCTCTCTTATCATTTTAATTTTTAATGATTTTTTCTTAATAGAAAATTATATATATATATATATATTTCTTTTAGGGCACTAGTGGTTTCTTTCTTTAACAAAGCATCATATAAGGGAGATTTACAACTAAATGGATAGTAGAGTTAAAGGACATGTTTTTCATCAAATAAAAAAAATATGCTTGCAACATACATAGATTTTTATTATGTTGTCTTGACTAAAATATATTAATTTATTATCTTCATATGTATAACAAAAATAAATGGTAGCTTTTTTCTTGAAAAAATGGACAAACAAAGTGTAACACACTTAACCCGTAAATATGTACTATTACAAGTTAAAGATGTCACACCAATTATTCAAAACATTATTTAAACCAAAAGGGTAAAATTTTGTTTCTTTCACAAGTTTCCAAATTATAACATTTATTATAAATAATTAATCAGAGAAAAACAAAAATATAATATTCTAACTTCTATTTCAAATCTGGTTTCCATGCAGTAATTGGTAGTTCTGCTCTATTTCATATAATAAATAAAACTCTCTAATTTTTAAAATTCAATTAATTAATATATAAAATATAATTTAATATAATAATATTTATTCATACGGTAAATTTCATTTGGTAGACATTTCTTACTTGTATACATGCCAACTAGAAAATTTAGAACATAATAGGATGTCATCATTTTTACCTATAAATATTCCTTGTTGATTGATGCCAAGCTCCATTCCTTACTCCACTCGCTATCTTTTATCTACGCGTAAAAATTATCACACGCTAAGATACACTTATTGAGGCAATCATAAAATTATTCAAGGCAATGCAACACATAAATGTAAACAATAATAATATTCAATGCATTATGATCACTTTACCTGTAATCTCAATCATGCTGCTAATATTAACATGATATGAATCACATATAAAATTTCTTACCAATATACTTGCCATTTATTCCATAAGATCAATAGCTTATTCACCTATTTATCATTTATTAACTAATAAACCATAGCCCAAAATATAAACCTATGAGGACCCCAGTATTCGAGTCAAATATGCACCGAAATGCTAAACTGATATGACACAGGAGGTCATATCCGCCAATAGCACTAGGTATCATTTAGTAGTGGCTCGCACTAGGTATCCTTTAGTACGGTATCAAATATGACACATAAGGTCGTGCCCACCATCAACACTAGGTATCCTTTAGTACTGACCATCACTAGATATCCTTTAGTACGGTCCTATATACAGTTGCTAGCCTCTATGGCATGCCATCAATACCATCGACCCTCAATGACATACTTGGGCATATACTCTATATTTATTTAATCCATCCATGAAAAAGCTTATTAATACAATATAACATTGGCAGTTCATACCCGCAATAACATTCATGATAAATACCACATATATTCATGATAAATATTGTATATAATAACTAGTGATCAATGCATTTTATATTCAACATTTGACATATTTAGAATATGTCAAATGTATGATAAATGACATAACTATCATGTCAGTATAAACAAGGTCGACTTATTCGCAAGTCCTACCCGATGATGTATAAAACATCCATGTATAATGTTATGCATGCATTGCACTCACTTTGACATTATATGCAAATCAAAATATAAGCCTCACTAATATTTAACTTGATCATTTTCTTTTGATTTGGTTCTATCCCAAATTTATCACAATTTCATGTCCTGGCAGTTTGTATTACCTTCAAAGAAGTATTATTCGATATTAATCTATACACTAAAAAATTATTCTGTTTATACCAATGGAAACTAGAATAGAATATGAATCTAACCATATAAGTCATTTCTTATAGTTCAATTTGTGCGATTTATAGTAAATTTTCAAAATGGACTTACAAAAGTTGTTTTGAGCAGAATCTGCTGCCATGTTTTCTGACCTATCATTGATTAAAATTTATATCTTTTTGTATACTCCTTGAAATAAGTATCCGTTTGTTTTAAACAAAACTAGACTAATGCATGAATCCAACAGTATAAAAATCATTCTCTAATCATTTCTGTAGAATTTATGGTGATTTTCTAAACTTACTGTTCATATTACAAATCTAGGCAGATTTCACTAATCTGTATTTTTATCTTATTCACCAATTCTATTAGCTCACCAAATGCACATATATGCATAAATCACAAAGTCACACAACATTAGGAGTCACTTCTTACCTTAGCAACTCTATCACTAGCTCATCGCAAGCCAATGTTTATTCGATAGCATAAGTACAAATTAAAATATGCACTCACATGGTGTCCTTAGCTTGCAACCTTTCTTAGGAATTCACATTTCATCCTCAAGCTTCTCCTTAGCTTTAATATTGTTTGATCTTGATTTCAAGCACACAATCTAAATGAGCATCATTACAAAACATATACAAATTCAAACCACATGTTAGAATCTTATTAACATATGCACACATTAGAAAATAAATTCTTAAAATCTTCTTTTGCTCATTCGATATTAATTTCATGACACCAAAATCTATGTTGACCTTAACTTTCAAATTGACCATCCAAGTTCCTTTTTATCCAAACTTCCCATAATATTTTCACTTAAGTTTCCAACTTTTCCATATTTGTGTTTTGAACCTCAACTTTTACCAACTTTCCAAAATAATCCAATTTCACATTATAACATCAATTTCAACACTATAACGTTAATTTCCAGCATAGTACATCAACCATTGAACAATTACACATTGATTCGATAATTTTCCATAATTGTTGAATATGTCCCCCAACTTTCACAAAATTACAAGAGGGTCCCTATAACTTTCTAAGGCTTGTAGAATCCTTCCTACATCATTTCCAACCCTTAGATAATTTTCCATATTTTTTCTCACTTATTCAAGCCATGGCAGAATACTTTAGTATTAGGGTTCCATGATTTTCACTTGATTTCAATTGATTCAAACATGAAATCAACATCTATTCAACATTTCAAAACCTTTACAATTAAACTCCTAATTCAATTTCATCAAATCACAAACTTTCCCTAATTTGAAGGTTAGGCCGAAAATTCATGTGGGCATTTCTAGGAGGTTTGATCATAATTTGATCATCAAACAAGCTTGAAAATGATTTTACAACATCGATAACCTCAAAATCCAATATCAATTCATGAAACTCTAACATGAACATAAACCCTAGAATTTGGGATCTTTAAACTCAAGCAAGATTAGCATGCAATATTGTTACCAAATAATAGAGCTCATCGAATAGAACAATTTTCTATTTCAAGTCTTAATCCAAAAACCTAATAAATTGGCATAAAAATAAAAAATAAAAATTCTCTTACCTAGGGTATGAAGGCCACGAAATGGAGGAGGAAGATGACCAAGTTTTCATGAAATTTTAGTTAATTTCATGTTAATTTGTCATTTATTTAAGCTTAAATGAATTTAAAATTTATTTAATGAGAAATGACAATTTTACCATTAATGAAATTTGATAATTACCTTCATACCAAGCCACATAATCTTTATCATCTTCCCAAACTCAAAGATGTACAAAATATATTTCCCTTTACCATTTTATCCATGCAACTTTCCAAAAATTTCAATCATGCCATTTAAATCCAACGATCCAAATTGAACATGGAAATAAATTCTCAAATCCAATGATCCATATTATTTTTCATCTTTTTAAAATATGTAAATAATATTTCTAACCTTAATTTATCACCCTTAAAATTTTCTCAAAATTTATATTCGATCCGATTTACCGAATTTTTATTGGACTTTAACACTTTCTAGATTTTAACGCAATTTCCGGATCAAGAATATGATTCCCACCTAAATGTCATTCTTGGAGGTGAACTATTAATTTATGAGGTCAAAACACTTAACTTTTGAAAATTATACTTTTAGTCCCTAAACTTTTGAAAGTCACATTTTTTATCCTTTAACTTTTTCAAAGTTATACTTTGGCTACTAAAATTTCAAAATTTACAATTTGGTCACTAAAAAAATTTGGGGTATTACACAAAGTTATTGTATTGATAAAAAATTATAACTATATAAAGAATCGACTGGTTCAATTATATAAAGAATAATTTTACAGATGTATTTTGAATTACGAAAAGATCAGATACAATCTGATTGGTGACACCAACCACAGCAGTCTTTACACTAATTGTCCAATGAAGTGATTATGGATAACTGATGATAAAGTTAATGTTTTATCAAATTTGAATGAGAGCGCAAACTCAGTTACTCAAATGATATTGATAAGTTGAAATTGTTTATGATTTAATCGTTATCTTATCTTTTGGTAAAAATGTTTATGCTACAAGTAAAAAAGATTAGGTTGACTTTTATCATTTTATCGATAATAACTTGTAAGTTAATTATGCTTTATGACTTATATTTATTTTATATTTCAATATTTTGACTTATTTATCATTTGTTTCTATAAATCAATTAATTTAATTTATTAATTTAGATGGATCCAAAAAAAATATTTGTTTGAAGAACAAATTAACTTATTCAATGAACAAGTATTATCTTGTGATATTTTTTTATAACTTTTTGTTGCTTCTAGCATTGATATTGGCCCTCTTATTGGAACATATGAATTGTACAGGATGCTCCGTACAATTAATTTTTAATAGAAAATGATGAGTTTGAAGCATATGAATAATTGGGTGATCATTTTGTAACTTTTATTACTTGGAGACTCAACAAAGCAGTTCCTTATAGTTAAGGATCAATTTGTAACTTTTAATAATTAAGGGATCATTTTACAATTTTTAATAGTTGAAGGACTTAAAAACAATGTGTATAGTCGAAGGACTATTTGTGTACTTTATCCTTTTGAATTTATGTTGTTGGTTTAGAGTTTATAGGTTTTACCGTGTTAGGTTTTTAGGTCAATGTTTTTAGGGTTATTTAAGAGGTTTAAAGTATATAGGTTTTGTGTTATTAGACCATTAGTGTTTTTAGTTAAGTTTTAAGGATATTTGTTTGGCTTAGGGTTTTAAAAATAAAATTGAGGGTTAAATAGTCTTTTTCCCTTTGATTTTACAATATTACGGATGGTGTTGTATTTTTTGTCACTATTTATGCAAAATAATTAGTAAAATCATATGAGCAAATATATTTGATCGGGTGATCAATCTAATCATATTAATTTGTGTTTTAGATTTAGTAAGTGCACTCCCTTCCTTTCCCCGAAGTCATTCCTTCTCATCTCCTCTGGATAGAGTAATGACTAAATTTAGAATTTATCAAAAAATTAAATAAAATCATATAATATCAAGAGAGTACGGTTTTATTTCTTGTGATATGTCATATACATAAAAAATGGAAATTATAAACACTCAAAATAAACTTTTTTTTTAATTTTAAAAAAAATAAAAATTATAAACCATACAAGTAATGATATAATGGCTGTTAATCTTCAAAATGATTAAAAAAATCTATATATATATATATATAAATTATCATTACAAAGTAAATTCAATCCATAATATTTATAACAAACCCTAACACAATATAATGAGTTGGTACACTTACAAAAATACTTAGGTGAATAATATCAACATATATTAAAGAAATAAAAAATTATTTTTACGAGATACAAAGAACCATCCAACTACAATATACATTGTACATCAGCCAACTACAAAATTATTATAACACTTCGATAAATTAAATGATCATTATGTAATTATTAAAAGTTTAGGTACGAAAAAAACTATTTAAGAATAGTATAGTGACCTATTGTGTACTTTACTCATTCTTGGAAAAGAAAACAATTGGGCCGGATCCATATAAGGATAAATTAGAAATCCAGTTTTGGCCCCAAACGCCGCTCCAGAGTATACCGCCACTGCCCACTTCATCTGTAACACTTTTCCCTCCATTACGAGGTTTAGGTTTTTTCTTTTCATTTTGGCTGTTAGTCACCATTACCAGATCATTAAATTTTAAGCAAGCACGTCTTGCTGTCTTCCCTTTCTGTAGATAATTTCACGCTCTTATGATGTTTCTTTCCTGAGAATTTACTCCAGCAAGAAAAAAAAAGGAGATCAGTTTAGGGGGTGTAAGTGCATTTCACATTTCTGAATGCTTTGGAAGAAATGGCGGAGGATGTTCCAGCCACGCCAGAGTCGACTGTTTCGGACGCGCCAGTTTTGATTATGTTCGACTCTCAACTTGCTGTCAAGTGGTATGATTTCAAATTTGAGAAGCAAATTTTACAATGTTTAAATATGTTTTTTTTCCTATAATCTTTTCATTTTGATTTTTAGTGGAAAAACAAATATTCAAAGGCTGAAAGGGGACGAGTTTGTCTAAAGCAAGCAGTTCGTTTGCTCGAAAAAGGATGTGATAATATCCAAGCGGAGAATTTAGCTCTCAAGCAAGGTTAACTTAATGCCCCTGTATATAACTCCCCTTTTGTTAATTTTGTATGGGTTATAACATATAATTATATAACAAGTTTGAAGGATTTAGATGAAACGTTTGTTGGCCATTGGTGTGCTTTCATACATTTAGGGTAGTCTTCTTTCCTCTCTTGGGAATCCCTTTATGTTGATTTCTATGGTAAGGGGTTAGATGTTAAGTTTGAGTTGTCCTGCAATTTTTTTTCCAATTCATAGCTTTGCACTTTCAGCCTATGAAGAAAAGCAGACACGGACAAATGTAGAGAAAGAAGGCAGAGAAAAAGAATCGGCTTTAAGAGTTTCATTAGAGAATGAAATATCTGTTCTGAAGTCTGAGATATCCAACTTAAAGCAAAAAGGAGTTTCGGATGTTGAAGATAAAATTGGAGAAATAAAACTTCTTAGAGCTACTGTTTCTGTCAGGGATAAGGAAATAAGCTGGCTCAAGGAGCTTGTTGAGAATGATAAGAAAAGGGTAGATTTGGAAAAGAAAAATGCTGCTTATGCACCAGCACGTACTGCAACTGAGTGTAAGGCTGGTGAAGAATATAGGCTAAAGCAATTGGAGACGCTAAGGAAAGAGATCAGTAAAGCAAAATCCAAGTTGGCTTTAGAGAAGTCAAAGCTGGATGAGGAAACCAAGAAGCTAGAAGAAGAGAAAAAGAAGGCAGTTGAAGAAAGAAAACTTGTCGATTTAGAGATGGCTAAAGCAAGGGAGTTGAGGAAGATTGCAGAAGAAACTAAGAAAAAGGCTGTTGACGAAAAAAATGTGCTGATTTGAAGATGGCTAAAGTGGAGCAGAGGAAGGTTGCTAATGGAACTAAGAAGAAGGCAGTTGGAGAAAGAAAACTTGCTGATATAGAGATGGCAGAAGCAGCAGAGCAAAGGAAGATTGCTGAAGAAAACATGAAGAAGGCTGTTGAAGTAAGAAAACAAGCTGAGTTTGAGATGGCTGAGGCAGAGGAGCAAAGGAAGATTGCTGAAGAAACTAAGAAGGCTGTTGAATAGGCCAAACTAGAGGAGCAAAGGAAGATGGCTGAAGAAACTAAGAAGGCTGTTGAAGAGGCTAAACTAGAGAAGCGTAGGAAGACTGTGGAAGCAACTAAGAAGAAAGCTGTTGAAGAGAAGCTTCACAATAACAATTTGACCAAACAGCTAGATGAGGCTAGAAGAAGCAATAAAGAACTACATAAGCAGTTACATGAACTTTCTGGCTCTAGAAATATGGGGAATAGTCCTTTTGACCAACCTGATCAAATGGTTGCTGCAAAAACAGAAAAGACAGCACAATTCAAGGTTTTGAAGGCAGATACAGAGAAGTCAAGGGCAGTTTCTGGGTCTGTGCAGTTGGATATTGAGAAAGAGAAGACTATTCGTGAGAGAAAAGAAACAGATTCAAAAACAAGGAAAGCAGAAAAGAAAAGAAAGTTTGTGGATGAGAATACGAAGAAGACTATGAAAGGAGAACACTGCGGTGATTATCTATCAAAGCTGTTGGAAGATGCAAACTTGAAAATTAATGAATTGCAGAAGCAGATACATGAATTTTCATCCAACAGAGAAATGGATGATGCATTGGTTGTTTCATCTAACAATGGAATTAGTGCTGAAGTAGCAGAATTGAAGCTTTTGAAAAAACAACTTAAGCTTGAGAAGGAAAGAGTAAAGCATGCAAAATATGTGGCTAGGTTGGAAAGAAATCGTACTAGTCTTTTGCAACAATAATTAGGTTGCACGAAGCTCGAGTTGATTAAAGTTTTGAACTGTTTGGATGCACTGGATAATTGTTTCTCAGCTCCAGCTGAAGGTTTATTTGACATGGAAAAGGTTAGTTTCACAGTAGCCATTCATATTTCTGGTGTTATTTTTACTTTCATTTTAGATTTTTTTTCCTGCAAAATTCAATTGTTTTCCTGATTGATGATTGTAGTGTCATAATTCTTTTTTGAAAAATAGCATACAGGTTTTGGCGTTTGATTCTATACTTTGCTACTCGTTGGTTTTTCAGACTGAAGATTACCTGATGGCTCTTTATTTTTATTGAACTGGTGGGTAGAGTATTGGTCTGCTTTCCATTCTACTTTATTTTGCTGGCAGTTTTAATGTATATGCGCATCACTGATATGATTTATGATTCACTGGAATTCTAATAAGCTCTTAGTAATTAACTTCCCCAGCCTGGGAAAAACTAAAAGAAGGAAAATAGAAAATTCGAAAAGAAAGGATGGGAGAAAGAGGAAGAAATGCGGGAGGGAGGGAGAGATTTCATCATCTTCCTTTTCCATTTTTTCTTTTCACATGTATATCCTATGATTTTGCATAATCTGTACCTTTCCATAATTTAAAAGAAAAAGAATTTAAGTATGCTGTGTCTTGTCTTGTCTTATTTTTCTTTTTTGTTTAGGTGAATTTGGAATGCAGAAGATTTTATTGTAGTAATACGGCATTCTGTATTTTTGTTACTTTTGCTTATTTCTGCCTGTGATTCTGATTATGGCTGTACATGGGATTGTTTGATATGCTTTGCAGGCTGGGGGCTCTGCAAGTATGCAATGGACGAAGTTGAAAAACAATTTGCATGGTTTAAAATCATGTCTTAAAACTGAAAACCAACTTCTGAAGACTAGGCATATGAATACAACTTCTTTCGATCCTCTTGTGGAAAAATTTCGACATGATGAACATTTGCTTCCTACACAAGGATGGAACTATTGTGAATCTATCACAGGTATTAACTCTAAATTGGAGGCTCTAATAAAAGAATGTTACAGAGTTCTGCAATAAATTCCAGTGCAGTATCTTTTTCTGTTACCACATCAACACTGGCTGAAGAGAACTTAAACTTACAACCAACTCTTTCGAGTATGTCTGGTGAAGTTACAAAAAATAGGTGTAATGAAAATCCAGCTGTGGTTGCTGAAAATAGTGTTAAAAGTTCTCTTGGAAGAGTTAAGGGCCGTGTTAGGAAGAGAGATATGATACTTGATACTGTAGAATGTATTGAAACTTATAGTCGAAAAAAACTTGTTCCGAATGAATCTATTTTATTTCTTCCGAATATGGCTGACTTAAATAGAGTTTACAATGTAACAACTTTACATAAAAAGATGCATAAAATTAACAACAGAATAAAACTGATCCTATCTAATAACTAACAGAATAAAAAACTGATTCTATCTAATTAAAACTGATCCTATCTAATAACTAACAGAATAAAATATTTAGTTAACAATCTTAATATTTAATTTAGATATTCTCGACACCCCCCCTCAAGCTGGAGAATAGATATCAATCATTCTCAGCTTGGACAGAAATCCTTCGAACATCGTAGTAAACAGTCCCTTGGTGAAAACATCGGCGAGCTGCTCTGATGATGGAACAAACGGTATGCAGATATCGTCATTTTCCAGCCTCTCCTTGATGAAATGTCGATCTATTTCGACATGTTTGGTCCTGTCATGCTGTACAGGATTATGAGCAATACTGATTGCCGATTTGTTGTCGCAATACAACTTCATCGGTTTATCTCCTTCAACCTTCAGCTCCTCCAAGATTCTCCTAAGCCATAACAGCTAACATACTCCTTACGCCATGGCTCTGAACTCGGCCTCCGCACTGCTTCTTGAGACAACTGGTTGCTTCTTGCTTCTCCAAGTAACTAAGTTGCCCCAGACAAAGGAGCAATAACCGGTGGTAGATCTTCTGTCTGTAGAACTTCCGTCCCAATAAGCATCAGTGAAGATCTCCACTATTCGACTTCCATTCTTCGAAAACATGATTCCTTTACCCGGACTCCCTTTCAAGTAATGAAGAATCTGGTAAACAACCTTGAAGTGTTTTTCTGAGGGACAATGCATAAACTGACTAACCAAGCTCACAGCAAATGCAATATCTTGTCTCGTATGAGCCAAATAAATCAGTTTCCCCACCAGCTTCTGATACCGATTCTTGTCCACAGGCTCAGCACCATCTTCTTTTTCGAGTTTTTGATTCGGATCAATAGGAGTCGCCATTGGTTTACATCCGAGTAATCCGGTCTCTTTCAAGATATCGAGGACATATTTCCTTTGAGAGATAATTATACCTTTTGAGGATCTAGCCACCTCCATTCCAAGGAAATATTTGAGTTGTCCTAGATCCTTGACTTCAAACTGGTTGGATAAGAAGTTCTTCAGCGACTCCAACTCTACTGTGTCATCTCCTCTCATAACAATGTCATCTACATACACAATTAAAATAGCAATTTTACCATTATTGTGTTTGTAGAACATAGTATGATCAGACTGGGCTTGAGTGTAACCATGTTGTTTCACAGCACTCGTGAATCTCTTGAACCAGGCTCTCGGAGATTGTTTCAATCCATAAATGGATTTCTTTAGCTTGCAGACCCTGCCATCCTTCTTCAATTCATCAAAGCCTGGAGGAACTTCCATAAACACCTCTTCCTCTAGCTCACCGTTTAGGAACGCATTCTTCACATCAAACTGTCTGAGAGTCCAATCCAGATTGCCTGCTAGTGAGAGTAGGACACGTATCGTGTTTAGTTTGGCCACAGGAGCGAAGGTTTCCTCGTAGTCAAGGCCGTATGTCTGAGTGAAGCCTCGTGCTACGAGTCTTGCTTTGTATCTCTCGACCGAGCCATCTGCATGGTATTTGATGGTGAACACCCACTTGCTGCCTATAGATCGTTTCTCCTCAGGTAAAGGAGTTAGATCCCACGTGTCATTCTTCTTCAGGGCCTTTAACTCCTCAAAAACTGCCTCTCTCCATCTCGGAACCTCTAGAGCTTCATGTATCGACTTAGGTAGTTCATCATCCATAATCCTGGTGGAAAAAGCTTTGAAATCTGGAGAGAGTTTATGATAAGACACGAAATTGGATATTGGATGTTTTGTGGTACATGATCTGACACCTTTGCGCAAGGCTATGGGTTCAAAGAATTCTGTAGAAGGCTCTAAATTTGGAGAAGAAATAGGAGAAAGAGAAGTCGTACCTTGGACCATAGTCGAGTCCGATGGTTGGCATACTTTGGAGGCCGGTGGAACATTACTTGGTCGAGTCATCCTTCTAGAATAAGCACAAAGTTCAGTAGGTGGTTCCAAGTCGGTTTCTACCTGAGTCTCACGAGGTTGTGAAATCCTAGGATTAGTTACAGGAATATGAATTGGTTTCACTGAGCTATTTACAATCAATTTTGGCAAGGATGTTTGTTCCCAAAAACTCATTTCAGAGTCATTCTCCCCCGAAAGAGAGTTTTTGTCAAAAAAAAGTTGTTTTTCAAAAAACGTGACATCCATACTCACGTAATACTTCCCAGATTTAGGATCAAAGCATTTATACCCTTTTTGTGTTGGTGAAAAACCTAGAAATATGCATTTATGTGCTCGGGGATCAAGTTTTCCTCTATTTTGGCCGTGTATATGAACAAAAGCAATGCAACAAAAAATTTTAGGTGTTAAATCAGTGAAAGATCTATTTTCAGGAAACATATTCTTTAGAGCTTGCAAAGGAGTGATATAATTAAGAACTCTTGTAGGCATTCGATTTATCAAATAAGACGCTGTTAAGAGTGCTTCATTCCAAAAACAATTAGGAACATTCATAGCAAACAATAAAGCCCTAGCCACCTCTAATAAATGCATATTTTTTCTTTCAGCAACTCCATTTTGTTGGGGAGTATCAACGCAAGAACTGTGATGAATAATTTCTTTTTGTTTCAAAAAATCACCTAAGATTGCATTAAAATATTCTCGGCCATTATCGGTTCTAAGAACTTGAATATTTGCTTGAAACTGAGTATTGATCAGTGAGTGAAAATTTTTGAAAACACTTGTTGCCTCGGATTTTTCTTTTAGTAAATAAATCCACGTGACTCTAGTGTGATCATCAATGAATGTGATGAACCATCTAGATCTTGAGGCTGTTTTTACTCGTGAAGGGCCCCAAATATCACTATGCACAAGAGAAAAAGGTTTTGATGGCATATACTTTAAAGATGGATAAATAGATTTATGATGTTTTGCCAATTCACAAACTTCACACTGAAAAGAAAAACCGTCCTTTTTTTTGAAAAGATTTGGAAACAAATATTTCAAGTAATTAAAACTAGGATGGCCTAACCTATAATGCCACAACATTATTTCATTCTCACAAGACAAGGTAGTGAAGCATCTTGGTTTTTGAACTTGTTTATCAGAAGGATTTTCCGTGACCAAGTGATAGAGTCTATCAACCTCCTTAGCATTGCCAATCATCTTCCCCGAACAAGGGTCCTGAAATTCAAATCCAACAAATGTTATTGTAGCAATGCATTTGCAATCATGAATAATACGATTAACAGAGATGAGATTGCAAGAGAGCTTTGGGACATGTAGGACATTTAGTAGTGTGAGAGATGGAGAAATAATGATAGAGCCTTTTCCAACTATAGAGGTTAGGGAACCATCAACAATTTTTACTTTCAGATTACCAGATAAAGGAAAATAAGATGAGAATATGGAGGAACTACCGGTCATGTGATCTGTTGCCCTTGAATCTATGATCCAAGGGTTTGATTTAGAACCGGCTATGAAAGCTATAGGATATGTACCTTTCTGGGCTAATGATGAAGAGGCAATATAAGATGATGGGTTAGGAGTGTTGGATATGGAATGAGAACTCATTAGTTGATACAATTGCTCTAGCTGTTCTTTGCTGAAGGCAGACGGTTCTGAGGCAGGTTTCGGCTCTTTAGAAGCATCTTCAAATGAGGCATGGAATCCCTTTTCATTACGAGAATTCTGATAGGCTGAAAAATTCTCGTCTGGCTTCCCGTGTACCTTCCAACACTTGGCTTTAGTGTGTCTCGGCTTGTTGCAGTGCTCGCAGATTGGCCGATCTCTGTCGTTCCGACGATCGTTGTGTCGTGGTGGCTGACCCGAGAACAAGGCAGAAGACTCGGTGGGATTTGGTGAGTGGCCTCCAAGCATGACTGTCCGCCGGCTCTCTTCTCGTCTGACTTCGGAGAAGACTTCTCTTGTGCTTGGTAGTGGTTCACGACCAAGAATGCGCCCTTTGACTTCATCTAATTTCTTGTTAAGGCCGACTAAGAATTCGAAGACGCGTTCTTTTTCCACCATCTTCTGGAATAGAGCCCTGTCCTGTACAACTCCATTCATAGTCGCTGAACATGTCAACCTCTTGCCACAAGGTCTTGAGGTCGGTGTAGTATTGAGTGACAGTTTTTTCTCCTTGTTTTAGCCTCCATAACCGAGTTTTTAGCTCAAACCATTGTCCTGCGTTCCCGAGATCAGAATAGTCTCGTTCACAGCATTCCAAATGTCATGAGCAGTAGGTAGGAAGAGATAAGTTCTCCCTACACTCGGATCCATGGAATTTATGAGCCAAGACATAATCATCGAGTTTTCTGCCTCCCATCTTTCAGATTCTTCATCTTCTTCGGCAGGTTTCGTATTGGTACCTGAGAGATAGCTGAATTTTCCACGGCCACGAATAAACAGTTTCACAGATTGTGACCACTGTAAGAAATTATTTCCATTCAACTTATGAGAAGTGATGGATATGTTTTGGAAGGATTCAGTGTTTAGGGTGATACCAGAGGTATCATCGTAGGGTTTGGCCATTTCTGGCTCGGATACCATATAGTCGAAAAAAACTTGTTCCGAATGAATCTATTTTATTTCTGCCGAATATGGCTGACTTAAATAGAGTTTACAATGTAACAACTTTACATAAAAAGATGCATAAAATTAGCAACAGAACAAAACTAATCCTATCTAATAAATAACAGAATAAAAAACTGATTCTATTTAATTAAAACTGATCCTATTTAATAACTAACATAATAAAATATCTAGTTAACAATCCTAATATTTAATTTAGATATTCTAGACAAAACTTTGTGCTGTGAGAGGAAGAAATTGCATCTACAGCTTGAGGACAAACTTTCTGTTTTGCAATGTAGGGTACAAATGGACAAACCCAGTGCAGAAGCAAAAACTGCAGCACCTATCATGCAAGGTGAATGTTCTGCACACGATAGATCTCATACTAGGAGAAAAACATCTGATGAAGAGACATTAGCTATGGGGCATTCTTGTGATGGTCTGCAGGTGAAGCAAATGCAAAGATTCTCTGATCATTTGTGCAACCCTGATACTATTTACGCTACAACTATGGTTGGTTTTGACGAAGTAGTCAGCAAAAACTATATGAAATTGCTGGATTTGGATGATGCTGCAGAGGAGGAATGCTATCGGATGGCAGTAGAAAGGCATGTATCCCCCACACTTCCTGAAATGAAATTTCCCAGTATCAACTCATTTGAGGTGGATGAATTTAGACGATTACAGGATGAGAACTCTGAAAGATTCTCTCATGAAAATGAAAATCCTGCATCTTCTAACAAGTTTAATGTTATGAATGGGAACAGTTCCAATCACTTGCAATGTAGTAGGGTGGACACTTCACCTCAATTACAACATGAGAATAGTTCTTCTTTTGGTTCCTTTGACATTCTAAAGTGTAATGCGAATGATTTCAGCAGTCTTTTGCCAGCAGCAAGAACCCTTTTAAACCCCTCGCAGAACTCTCAAGTGGATGTGGAGATGTTAGTTGGCCCTAGTTCTGGGGATGGAGTGGTGAACGGTTCATCTGGAAGTGAAATTGGATCCACCATTGAAAGTATTCCAAAATTCTGTGTTATGTTCTCTAATATCAAGGATGATAGGACCGTCTCTAGAATCTTTTGTGCCACTAAAACTTGTATGGTTCAATGCTCTTTGCCTGCTCAGATGAAGTTTGCCATGCATAGAATTACACATGCTTAAACTGTAAAAACAGCTTTTACTGAAGCAAGTGTTTTATTGCCGTAATATATGTTATAATGTCTGCTGTTGAAGGCTGTTTATGAGTTCTTTACTTTTTCTTTAGTTCATTCTGGTGCCTGCTTAGATTCCCAGAACTGTTAAATTAATTGATGAGTAGATTCTCAATAACTAAATAAAAATTGATGACTAGATGCCAGATCTCATGGCTCTTTTTTTTGGGTTTCAGGGAGAAGGTTTGTGTATTTGTCTCACTGGTTCTTCTCAACTTCTGTACAGCTACATCGAAGAGCTGCTCTATGCTTGGGGATTTCATACGCAATTTAAATTTGTTTGCTGAACACATAAATGAAGGTGCTTCAAAACTTTTATCTGTCTAGGTTGTTAGATTTGTTATGTCTATATTGGTTCTTACAATTTATTATTTGGTTGTTTTGGCTTAGGCTTTATTTAACTATTCTTTTGGCGCAGTGCTGTCTGATGCTGTGGCAAGAAGTGTAGTGGCTGAATGTTTGGATGAACTGCTTAGTTCGATTCAGGATTTTCTTATAGAGGGGAGAGTTATGTTGTATGCTAATCTGTCTTTTGAGACTTCCGCTGAATTTGATTCAAGAAGACATGTCATTATTGATGTTTCAGATGTAGTACTTACACATGAACCTGCTTCGGCTGACCTGTTGGTGGCCAGTAGCATTGTATTGGGTTTGATTTGTGCAGCTGCTGACCGTACCGGCTTTCTGTGTGAAGCTGCATATAACATTTTCCGGATGCACAGATACAATACCTCGGTGGTTCTAGTTGTTCTTCATGTGTTTGCTTATGTGGGCGGAGATAAGATGTTTACTTTAAGAAATTATCGTTTAACAATGCTATATTGAAATCGATTGTCACGTTCCTTGAAAGTGAATGTGCTCCGGTGACTATAAAGACACTCGTTGGTGGGTGATGTTCTACCTCAGTTCCATGCACGTGTTGGATGCCCATTTTCTAAGGATGCCCTTTCTGTAGATGATGTTGACTCATTACTCTTTACAAAGTTTCATAATTTTGCCCGGTCAGGAATCATGTATCAAAAACTGACAGCAAATTCATCAAATTCATGTTTAACGTACATTCGAGATATGAATGTCTCCTGTTGTTTAGGTAAGTGCAGCTTGGCAAGTAAACAGTCGGGATCAGTTGTCACCGAGACAGTCTGTGACATCAGTGATGTCTTATCATTGATGGAGCTGCTGGCATGCAATATGGTTTTTGCTTCCTTATGCTTGTTTTGACTTACTCTATAAGCTGCTTTGACTACAACCATTTTAACCTTTTTCTTCATTAAAAGAATAACTGAAAAAAAAGAAGCAAGACAGTAATGTTTGGCTATGAATTCCCCTGGTTGAAGCAAAGATTTTGAACTTTTATAATAAAAATTCTTAAAAAATCTTAATGTAAATGACATTTAAAAGAATTTAAAGTACTTTTTGAATAAGTGCCTGTACCTTGATTTTTAGCCTGACCTCATGTTTTGATGGAACAGAGCTGGAACTGGACATGCAAGGAAATCATTGCCCAGTTGTGGATTATGTTGGAGTCATATGTTCATGAGAACCTCATTGTTGCCATTATTAGTCTTCTTGGTCAACTTGGAAGGCATTCTTTCATTAAATTTTGTGTTTTACATATTTTTATGCTTTCATCCGGTCCCTATTTGTATGTTAGTTGAAACTTGATGTAGGAAAAAGAGTTACTCGAATTTAGGTTTTTGGTAGATAATTAGACTTTTTAAAAGCTTAAGAGACAATGGTTACAGGTAAGAAAGGAACGATGGGAAAAATAGCATATAACTTACACATTTGGTTGATGTCTGTTTTTAAGGATCGGAGTCGATGCTGTTGGATATGAAGATAAAGAGGTTGAGAAGTTGAGAGTGAAGTTGTATGGTTTCCTGTTGCGGGAGACTTTTGTTAGATCCGACCTTCCCATCCAGCTCGCGACTGTTTCTTCATTGGTTTGGCTTGTATCCCTTGACTTTGAGAATGTTGAGATTCCAGTCATGTCAGATCAGTTTGTTCCTGCAGATCTTTTAAGAAATTGGTTTCCTTTATTGACAGAAGAACAGTGAGCAACATCGATTAGGCTCTTCAAGTCTATTGACTGAAATAATTGCATCAGGGATTTGAATATGAACGTTTGACTTGGAGCAAGTTGCAATAGTTTCAAGATCAGTACACATTTTTGTTAAATGTATACATTTCTTTTTGTTGCAGAAATAGATAGTTTTGCTTGACCAATTAGGTTTTTGGGACGGAGGAGACCCTTTTGTTTTGGTTTATGGTGTTCTATTGTTGTACATGCCAAAGAAATACGAAAAATTGAGCCTGAATGCCGCCTTTTGTTGCATACGATTTCCTCATTGCATTATCTTCCGATGGTAGGCTTATCATGATTACGGGTGTAAACGAGTATTGCCGAGTTCAACTCAAAAACTCACGAACTTAAAATTTTTAAATTCGACTCAAACTCGAATGATAATATTGAAGCTCAACTTGAACTCAAAAAAAGCTCAAACTAAAAAAAAATTCAAGAGCTCAATTAAAACTCGTTTTTAATCTCAAGAATTTAAACTCGATTCAAGCTCTATTGAAGCTCGAGAATTTGAGCTTGATTCAAGCTCGAGGATTATTTTAAACTTGCGTATCCCTCGCCTTTTATAATAGACTTAAGGATTCTCTCTCTATTTACTATCGATGTGGGATTGTTTTCAATTTGGAATTCACAACTCTACAACTTTCTCCTCACCTTCTTCCCATGTTTTTTTCACGTCAAAAAGCCTTCTCTTTCACACATTTTCCTACCACCCAAACACTCATAGAGCCAAGAAAAAAAAGCCCAAATCCCAGAAAACACAAACAAAAATGTCAGACGATGAAGCAGAGGAAGAGTACTTGTTCAAAATAGTGATAATAGGACCGTAAGGGGTTGTTGAGAAAGTGGGAATGATTTTCTGGAAAACGGAGTCGTACAAATGTGTGAAGTAGGCAGTTCTGATAAAATCATATCGTTGATTACTTTTTCTAGGAAACAATTGAAACTTAGCGGAGACATCTCGCTTCCTTTCTTGAAAACTGGTTATTATTGATCTAAAGTGTTCTTTACCGTGAAATACACAACCACCTCTGTAATTGAAATACAAACATCAATAGCATCACTCACAATAACTTTATCACTTCTGGCTTCCTTGTCATGACATTCAAATAGGTTTATTCCATTCAAATGTACATGTTGGGATATACAGGGGAAAAAGAGCATGCGGTCAATGGTGCTAATGATCAGTACTTAAGCTTACCATGTTAATCCCCTGTAATCATAGTAGCGTACAACAGGTTGAGAATGGTGGTTCTAAGCTTTCAATCTAGACAACTTTATTTTAACTGCTTATTTCTTATCGATCATATTTTTTATCTGCAATGATTGCTTTTGCTTCTAACTCAAACATTTCTTCATCTTTTTTTCAAGTGGCCTAGTTTTAAAATTGAGCTTGAAACTGTTTAATAATTAACTGGAAATGAAATATCTGGCAAGAAAATAACAAATCACTCTTTTCCTGACAGCTAGTCATGTTCTTCCTTGTGTGAATGTTTGGCCCATTGTTGGCATTTCTCTGTGAATTTGGCTCAACGTACATTTGATAGTTTGTGTTGAAGATTACTTCTACCTGTATTAGGCTTTACTTACAGAAGATTTCAGCTCTGATATGAAACTTTAGAATTTTTGTAAAAGCTTAATATTTTATATTGTTGAAAACATGTATTTAACAATTTCTTGCACAATGAGTATGGAGGACCTGGAACACTGCTGGTGGAGCCTTTCACGGATATGTTTGTAGCTTTGAAGGAGAGGCAATTACCCGGGGCACATGTGGCTGCTCTGGCATCGCTGTTATGGGCCCAAATTTATGTCGATCATGATTGGAGGTTTTGGCAATCAAACTCTCCCAAATGATTTCCTCCACATAATTCATAACATTTTCTTTCACATTATCATCACATTGTAGTTTTAGTTACTGATCAAGTTTGGAGTTTGTATGAAGTAGTGAATGAAAGACTGGAAATCCTAATTTCATTTCAGAATATTACAATGTAGGATCCGAGGATCTTCTGAACTAAGAAGTATGCATGAGTTTTTTATTTCTTGAAACTGAGTTCAATTTGGGAGCTTCGATTCCAAAGTTAGTATATTTAGCTTAAATTAGTCCTCACATTTAGATTTCTCTTAATTTAGTCATTGTTTAGGATTGTTTTCTTTAATTAGTTGTGTATATTTATTTTGCATGTTGATATGTTTATGTATAAGTATGAGATTGATTTATTTATGAGTCACATAACATCATTTTGCATAATTTGTATGTTACCTTCATGTGCATAATTTAACCCCTATCACACAATCGGATTTAGGGTTTATAGTTTATGTTTTATGGTTTAAGGTTTAGACATTAATTAATCGACTTGGTACCGATTTATGAGGTAAGTACGATTTAAGGTTTATGGTTTAGGATTTATAGTTTATGGTTTAGGGTTTATTGTTTATAGTTTAGGGTTTAAGGCTCACTACACATACATTAATAAAAATTTGAGGTAGTTGTATTATAGATTTTTTAATATATTTTTAAAAATTTATAATTATCAATAGTGTATTTTTAATATATTTTTAATAATGTAATTTTTAAAAAAATCTAAAATTATAATATAACATTTTTTGAGCTGCTCACGAGCTTATCGAGTCGAATATCGAGTAGCTCGTTTCGGCTCGTTAAGAATTCGAGTCGAGCTCGAGCTCGAGTCGAGTTTATTCGATCCGAGTATTTATCAAGCCTTGGCCGAGTTGATCTCGAGTAGCTAACGATCTATCTCGTCTCATTTACAACCCTAATCATGATACAAATCAACCACGAAAGTAAAAAAAAATCGAGGATTAATAAATTATTCAACAGGCATTGGTGGAATACTCTGTTCATTCCTTGTTGAAGTGTATTAGTTGGACGTGGGTCAGTTAGAGTGCTTACGGTTGTTGAGTTAGCTAACTTGTGTCAGTTAAGGTTAATTGCCATTATTGTATATGTATAAAAGAATATACTGCTAATGCTTTGAATATATATCAAGAAGCGTTATTCCTTTATTCTTTGTACTTACTTTCTGTTAATTATTTCAACATGCTCATGTTGAAGTATATTAACTGGACGTAAGTCAGTCAAAAGTGGTTAGGGATGTGGATTTAGCCAATTTGTGTCAGTTGAAATTACAAGTTCTATTGATTGTTCGAAGTAATCGGTTAGAACGAATGTTAACCCGAATGTTAACCGGAGTTTTGTAATCGCCACCGGAGTTGATTGCTGATAGTATTGGTGCTATGGTGGCCAATGAAGCATATGATGATTTTGAGGCACAAGATAGTGCTCTCGCATCCTTGCTAATATCGATAATCAATGCTCACCTTCTACCACAGTTTGTTGGTGCTGTAATGGTGTTTGCTGTTTGGCGAATGGTACTCCAATTTTTTATGAATCAATCAGCCATGATGGTTATGAGTCTGCATTACAAGTTGCAGTCACTCAAGAAGGGTGATGATAGCATGAGGGTGTACCTTACTAAGGTCAAAGAGGTGTGTGATGCTTTAGCATCGTGCGACAGAACCGTTCCAACAGTAGAGAACATTGTGAGTATCTTGAAAGGATTACCTAGAGACTATCAATCGTTCATGGTAGTTATAACTGCTAATGATGATTCTCTCTCCTTAGAGAATGTTTATACTATGTTAGTTGATACAAAACTCAGATAGCAGGTTTTGCTGCTCAAGAAGAAACTCTTCGTGCCAATGTTCATAGCTCAAGGGGCAGTAGGGTCCAATGGTAGTACGACTAGTCATAGGGGATATTAGCAGTCCTCATATTATGGTGGAAGGTATGGTGGTAGAGGTCGTGGTACAAAGCGTGTCCAATGCCAGCTGTGTGGAAAAATCAACCATATGGTTTGGTTTGACCATACATTCTCGAGAGTCACTGTAACACCCTAATCCCACATATTCGAGCGCCACAAAGAATCACCAAAGTGACTAATCGTTCTCTCTCTATTTTACACTAAAAACATACTCATTTTGACAACATTTACATAAGATATTAAACTATAATCATTTACGAAAGAGGGGCCCTAATAAAAAACTTGATAAATAAAATAGCAATTAAAATATTACAAGTCGACTCATTTCAAATCACAACTTCTACATGCCCACTAAGTCGTCACCACAGTACTCTGGTACTCTGTTGAAACTCCTTTGATGATATCGTTGTCTCCTTGCACTTCACGAAACATAAAACCTGCGAAAGGAAACACATTTTGAAAATTGAGCTCGCAAGCCCTGCGCCACACAATACCTCTACTATACTACATGCATTCATAAAATAAGCATGCTAACAAGTATAACCAGAGAAGCAATACTAGTATGTCATCAGTACTACTAGAACATCTATTCAAGGTACATCTACTATCAAAATAATTTGAGGCTCATGCTTCCCTTAGTATAATCATGAGGTCATCGCTATGAGTATACATGCATTGGTCTCTAACCATAATATCATGCTACTATACATTATCATAT